TTTTTTCAAGATTATATATAATTTATTTTCACTATAGATGCCTGCCAAAACCTCCTCAAAATAATTTCATCATACCCTTTTCTATATTTTTAATATAGTTTTGACAGTTTCAGCTTTCGTCGTATCGAATGGGTTTCATCGTATTCCTTATTATGATTTTAATATAGTTTCATCTAAGTTTTGACTGTTATTAAGGGGTTTCATCCTTCATCTATAATTTTCACTCACTCTGAGAGTTTAACTGAGAATATAGCTACAACTTTTACAAATTATTGTTAATAAAGAACAATTGTTATGACAATGTATTTGACTATTTTTTTCAATTCTAATGCTTGATTTAATTTTAATAAACAAAATAAATTCTTATTGATTAATTGTAACAAAATCTTTTTTTTTTTTATTAATATCTTTTTTATTTATTATTATTTATTAGTTTTGATATATATGATATTTAATTAATTTAATAAGTATATTAAATTGATCCTATTTTATTATTTTAATTAATTTCACATGTTATCATTAAACTTGTATTACTGCTAATCTATTGCTTAGTTTAATTTAGCACTAATTTGATACTTCAGACATGCAAACAGTTCTCGTTCTCTAGTTTATAATTATAAATTTTGAAAATTTTGTTACTTTAAATTAATTTATAGATATTTGGTCAATCTGATCTGAACTATTGAAAAACTATGCATTTTCCATTAATTCATTTCATGTGATAAGATCCGCAAAATGATCTTTCTTAGCATTATCAATAAAAAATCACTTTCACATGATCATATAAAAAATATTTATCATTCTGCATCACATCCTCGTATTTTTCATTTTTTACTAAGTATTCCAGAAACTGAGAATTTTTTCAGTGTGTAAAATCATATTTGTTATATCACTATTCGTCACATATATAATACCTTAACTCACAGTTAATGCCATAACTTTGGCTAAAAAGTCATATGAAGGTGATTTTTTGTTGATGATCCTGGGGTAGTTTGCAAAATATATCCTTAAATGATTAATTATAAAATTTGATCTTATTGGCCTAATTTCTATTTTATTTTTTAACACGTTCTCTTATTTTTTTTTATGTTCTTTTACTTTTCTTTTTTTTATTAGAAATAAAAATTTTTATTAGACGAAAAAAATAAAGTTATTTATCGTAAACATTGAGAAAAAAATAATATTCTAATTTTCTATTGGTCATTTATTCTACTGAAGAAGAAATGTCTGGCAAATCATTACTATTCTTAAAAATTCAAGAAACAATAGAAAAGTACTTCAAAAAAATACAATTTAGTCGTTGTTTAGATTTTTGAAATTTAGAGCAGAAACTGAAGATTTTACATGTGATAAGAGAAAGGAACATAGTTTGTATAAAAGAGTTTTAGACGTATTAATGATAAATAATACTCAAGTTTGAGATTATCTTTCCAGTTTTGAAGTTAAGTATATGTTCGTTTCTACTGAATAAGATGATTGGATTCAAGAACTAGAGTACATTCTGATTCTGAGACATTTTACGTGATGTACTAATAAACCTCTGAGTAGCTAGCTATTACATATTGGCTAGTGATAGTAGAAGTTATTTCTCCTTAGGCGTTCTTAAATAAACATATGTTACTGCTATAACGCAACCAGATGCTTACATATCAACTGATTGTTCACAAGCTATGATTCACTCATCTTAACCTTTATTTTGTTATTTATATGATAGTTTCAAAAAATGTTATTTGATCTTATAATAATGTTTGTTTTCTTTTAATAAAAAGAACGAGAAGTCTTCTGGAGGTATCTTTGATTTCTGGACAATGTTCAAAAAAAAATGATATAAAGACAAGATTGAAAATTAATTAGTTTGTAGATTGTGTTTTGCGGTTGTTTATATACATTGAGAATTTACTTGTTTGCAAAATAGTTAGGATACATTACTAACGTAATAGATGATTCCATTAAAGATTCAAAAGATGCAAGAACGTTTTTATCTGATAAATTGAAGTCATTTGTAAAGGAACATGCTAAATAAAATCACGTAAGTATTAAAAAGTTAGTTTTATATTAATTTTTTTTATGTAATAAATTTTACTTCCTTCTTAACATTCAGAATCACATAAAAGGTTCTCAGAATCGTAAAAAATCTAATGAATCAAATTATGATTTACACACACTGGATTCCAACAAAAAGGTCAGTCAGACTAGGACTAATTTATGTATCATTTGTTTCATTATTTCATATTGATATTATGTTTTTATTAATCATTTTTGATATACAGACCAAAACAGATTTTATGTTTAACGTATCATTCAATGAATACACTACCGTTATTAACGCTGTCAAATCTATACAACAAGATAATGAATCTGTCTACACTTGTGTAAGTTATATCTACTTATACGCCTTTATTCATTGTGTACTAATATTCTCACTTCTTCTATCTTAGCCCACTCTGGTGGAGTGTTTTAGATTTCTGTAAGAAGAACATATCTTTGAATCTAAACCTCCCTCGTATTAAGAATTTTTTCTCAACTAATGAGATCGATTGTTTGATGAGTATGGCAAGAAGTGCTATTCAAGAAGAGAAGAAACATATCAGTAAATTGGTAGAATCTTTCTTAGAAGCATTATTGCTATCAAAAATTGTTAACCTTAGACTTCCTGCAAATAAATGTGATACGTGAGGGATTGCTGGTATATGCAATCTCCTTCAAAAATCTTCAGATAATATACAGGTTAATCAAAATTATTTACATAACATTCTGATTTAATGTTCACTTTATAATAGGATGTTATAGATAGGAATACAATTAATGATTTTCTCAAAAATATTGATGCTGATGATAAAGAAACAATATATGTAGAGAAATATATTGAGAATACGTAAGTTTTTATCTGTATGCATGATTTGGTCATCTACATTTATTATAAATTTAAATAATGGTATCATAATAGATATACATGGATCAGCCATTTTCTTAGAAGTTCTCAATTTAAACAAACTGTTGAAATATTCATAGTTAGACCATGTGTAAAAACCCCACAAACTATATTTACTTAGTAAGAAATTTGATTTGTTCTTAACTACTTTATCTGTTATATTAAGCATTATTTTTTTTTTATAGCGGTGAAAACCATTCTGATGCATACCGTTATGATAAAATAGAGCATTCTGAAATTCAACATATTGGTAAAGTATGTGATTTCTTATATTAGATATGTTGTCTTATTTGGTTATAAAAATAAATAGTTAATCTTACATGAGATTTTATATGTAGAGCTCATCTATAGAGACTGATATTAGCGAGAATAATGGGCCAACCCACAAGGACAATCATGATAAGGTAAAAACCAACTTTGTTGATGTGATCAAAGTGTTCAGAATGTAACATATTGAAATTGAAACTTAAATTATTGAGCAGAGTGGCAGAAATCCTCTATTAGATAGCTTACAAAAAGGGTTGGCTTTGATATTTATACTATTTTTTCAAATAATCAGAATAAGAATTCAGTTCTATATTCTTTTTTAAGTTGACGGAGATCTGTACAGTTTTTGGGATTGGGCATCAGAATCTTTACCAGTAAAAGATTCAGATGTAGGTGAGCTTGTCCTATTATATAAAAGGTTTTTAGTTCACAGGATATGTTATTTTTTTGATTAATTTGCTTTATGAGCTATCAAGTTTTTACTAATAATAAAATTTAACAGAATCTTGTAGAATGTGTAGGACGGATGATAAGTATTCTTGCCAAGAAGGCCAAAACCTTCAAAGATAAAATAGCTAGTACCAGCGAGTTTTTTCAAATAATGATAGAATTAAACAAATTATAAACTCCCGCAAAGAAGTCAGAACGTTCTTAAAAGTTGAACAATTTATCTTTATCATATGATTAAATTTGTATTATAGCTTCATAGAAGGACTTTCACGTGATTGGTCGATCCTAATCAATTAATCAGTACATTATTTAAACAGTTTAGAGTACTTTTTGAGAATGTAACGTTTCACATATAAAAATATAAAAATTTTTATCTCTTAGCTTCAAAGGTATGTTTACATTCACTGTGCAAAATAATCCTGAAATAATCCCAATTTTAAAGGTACTTTACTTAGTAGGTAATATGAATATTGGACTATGTATAATTATAATATGCCAAAGCCAAAAATCAATAAAATGGAAAAAGGTAACTGAGTATATTATTATAAAGGGTTAAACTAATAATACTTTGTTAAGTTATTTACAAGTAGATAATACAATCTGCTTAGGCTGTTATAATGAAATTATGGTAAATCATACACTTACATTTTAACAATATACTCAAGCTAGTATAGAACTTTCACTTCTGCCTCCACTCAGTGATATACATTTTTGATGTCTTAGAGATTTATTGTCCTAACTATATGTTCCAACCTGTTCTACACTATGTTTCAAATGTCCTATCTGTCCCATCTATGTCCAATTAGCATCCCATCAGTATTTCATCAATGTCCTATAACAACATTATCTCCACTTTCACCTCCAGTTTTACCTTTACTTTCATCACTGCCATTTTTACCTTCTGTCTTATAGTTCTCTGAAACAATAAGAATAATAACTAAAATTTTATATATTCGTGAAAATAAGAAGAAAAAACAAACAATCTACTTGTTTGATGATTTTTGTGTAATTATAGAAGAGGAAGATGCAAGATTAAAGGTTTTTTTGATGAGATATATTTCATTTAACTCTTCAAAAATAAAATATCACAAGTATAAGTAAAAAAGCAGCTCCTATTTATATGTTACTTTCTTTGCAGAATTCGTAACAAGTTTATTAATAATGCAAAAATAGATTTGACAATATACTTGAATTTCATTGGTATTTCTAATACCTCTATAGATACTCTTGCTGATTTAGGTATAACTACAATATCCTAAACAATCACGCAGCATAAAACTATTATTTTCGATAATCATGCTAAAATTGTCAATTTTACGCTTGCGGAATATGCAGAGAAGGCCATAATCTTAAATATCGATGATTACTATAGTATCCATATGAAGCGGATGCTGAACATAACCATTACTTTTATTGCAACACATCTAGCAATAATTTTAATAAATTCGATCACTACATAATATGTAATTTTGAATGTAAACATACATAATCCTAGATTAATTGATGCTGAGTTGATAAAGTTAAATCTGAATAATAGATTCATAATGCTTCTCAGTCTTTCGCATAACTAACATTGGAGATTTCATTCAGTTGATAATACTAGATTGGAAGAGTTAATTATATATAGTTATAATATTAGACTAAAAAAGAAACGTAATGCCCGTTCAATAAAAGATGTCCTTATAGATTTATAAGAGAATAATCTTTATAGTTTAAATATATATATTAAAGCTATTAATGCTGTTGTAGATGTTCCATTTCTACTGCAGTATATTCAAAAAGGATATATTATTTCTGTTGTTACCAATTGGCCTGAATAAATTTATTTTAGGATAACCATTTTTCGTCATATATTATATTATGATCAATCAAATATTACTAATTCTATTTTATCATTTCTTCCTATTATAGGTCTCTTGTACATTTCATTGAATAGTCGAGAATTAATATTCCTTTAATATTGACCCTTTTTTTCAGTCATATACAAATATATATTTGGAAAATGGAGGCCTCTTGCGTAAAAGCCCAAGCCATACTCCTTTTAGAGATTTCTCACAGTATTTGACAAGAAATTTTGATGAGTGTTAAAATAAAATTTGGTAAAGATGCTGAATATCTTGCATTAAAAGACTTGCTTGATAATCTTATTTCTCTGATTCTGAATGTATATACAGTATTTTTCTGATTTGGTAATTTTAATGCCTATTTAAAATCATGCTTTCGTGTGTGAATAGTGTTTCTTAAATTCTATCGCAAAAATTATACTAAAGATCTATTAATGTTTCTTTCAGATATATTCTACTGGGAGTTAAACAAACATCCTATCTTAGATACTATTGTTGTTGAACTTCCAAAGTTTTCAGATTTGACTGTAGAAATATTTCACAGCTTTTTACGTTAAAGCACTCAGAAATATACTGAGACACAGCAGATCATTAAATACAGACGTTATATCAACTGACTACGTTTAGATGATAACAGATTTAGAAAAAATATTGCGTATATATCTTTGTGGACTGCTTATGAATATTCTTCTCAAGATATTATATTCTTAACAAAGAAAAGTGCATGTTTTCTTTTGCAATATTTTTCAGAAATCCATACACATGTATTTCACAATAAACTACTATTAATAATTCCATTATAGATTACCATGAATCCAAATCTACCTTTGAAAAAACATCAAAAAATTAATGAAATTTCTGTTTCATTAATAGCGATAAAAATGCCAGAAGCACAATTATGCTATCTTACTTTAGGGTTTAATACTTTACATAGACCAGATCTATTACAATATTGCGATGCATCTAACTGTTCTAATTTTTATTAATTAATACAGATCCTATTAAAGTTTTGGTTTGCGGTCATACTTATCACAAATATTGCTATACCAATATTGGATTCAAATGCATGTATTGCTTCTCATTCTTATAAGTTGATATTGATGAACATGTTCAGTCTTTATTAGAATACTTGCATCGTTTTAAGAATAGCAAGCTAAAGTTGAAGATCTGGAAAATAATATCCCATGTGATGATGATGATGAAAGTAAACCTATAGAATATGTAGCATGTGCATTAAAAGAGGCATTGTGTAAATTTCAATAGCAATAGATTGTTTAAAAAGACAATTTTATTTAGAGAAGCATTTTAATTACAATAAAAATAACAAATTTTTTACATTTTTTTTTTTTTTTTTTTTTTTTACAAAAACTAAGACTATTATATAAAATCAATAAATTAAACTAATTTTTGTAACAAAGGTTTTATTTTTAATTCTTTAATTTATTATATATATAAATTCTAAATAATTTAAATGCAATAGTTAAATTATATAATTACATAGTATATCACATGACGTGTATAAATATTTATAATATCAACTATAAAATTCTTATAACATAATCGGCCAATTATGTAAAAGTCCTTCTATGAGTGGTTAATAAATGATTGAACCAATTGCATCAAGCATAGTAGACATTTGTATGATTAGTCAATTTATATATCGATTATTTCCTAATTATCATTAAAATATTTGATTTTGATTGGTTCAATTTTATTATTAAAATAATATAATATTAATATCGCATTTTTTTATAAAAATTATTAATTTTTTATAAATATTTTAAGAGCTATTTTAAATTGTTCTATAATTTGAGAATCAAATAATGTTTGTTTTGATAAATCTTCAGGTTTATCATTTTTTATTAATTGAATTTCATCTTCTTGATCAAGTTCAACTTTAAAATTTTCTTTAGTAATTTTAGAAATAATAGATTTTATATTATTATTAATTTTATTTTTAATATATTTTAAATAATATAAACATTTATACTCAAGATATTGTAAACAATATTGATGATAAATATGACTACATAAAAAAGAAATAAACTTCATTAAGATATAAGAAGTAAAATCATTAGATGCTGATTGTAATATTTTACAAGAATCTTGAAGATAACACTTTTCTAATAAATTAAATGGTAGATATTCTGAACTAAAAGCATTGGTATATGTCATTCATTTACATTTATATTAAAAGCTGTAAGATAATATAAAAGCTTATTTTTTCTTTGTTGATTAATTTTTATCCATTTGCTTTTTTCAATATTATATTAATCTTTGTAAATAATTCTAAAAGAAAAATAGATGCTTTATTAGTTAAACCTATTAAATCTTTTTTACAATAAGGATATTTTTTTGTTACAATAAATGCATTTTGAAATACATTATCATGACGAAGATAATTGATAACATGAGCTGTTTTTGATAATAATTTATGTTTATTTGTTTCTCTTATTTGTCTTCAAATTAATGAATGATAATTTTTTACAGGATAATCATTAAATGCTGCAAGATGTTTTTTTAAAATATTAAGAATAGAATGATTAATACTTTCTCAATATCAAACATCCAAAAAAAAAATAATGATGCTTTATTATAATTTTTTCGTTTAAATTAAGCAAATAAACACTATACTCTTATACAAACTTCAATATATGTTTCTTAATTATCAGATTTAAAAATTGTTGCATAAATATTTAAAACTAAAGAAATAGTATTATCTAAAAGGATTTTTTAATATAAGATATTCTACATTTCTAAAACAAATTGGCTCAATTTTTTCTTTAACATATGAAGCAACATTTTTCCAAGCATCTGAAATTAATTGCAATAAAATATTGATTCTCTAAGGACAAGATTTATTAGCAAGCTTTTTTTTTGTTTTAAAAATATATTTGTATGCAGAATTAAAAAAATCAAAAAAAATAAAACAACAGTTTTCCAACTGTTTAAAGATACATGCAAAGGTCTCATAATTGGAATAAAAGAACTAATACATTCTGAAATTTCTATCTGATTATTCTTTTTTGATTGTTGTTGTCTTTATTATATAGTAATTACTTTTCTAGGATATATTTAACCTGGCCAATCAGCAATTAATAGAATAACATTATACTTAAGATAATCATGAAATTCAAAAAAGGATGCAAATGTTTTTATAACATTAATATATACTTCTATTGAATGCAAATCAAGCTTAATAAAATCAATTAATATAATATCACTAAGTTGTTGATTTTTTCATTTTTCATAAATATCTGCATCATAACAATGAACTGTTAGATTGTTAAGTAAATCCTCTTCAGAAAGAGTAAATTATTTAGCAAACTGATCATTAAAAGATTGAGAGAAAAGAGCTATATAATGATTTTCTATCTGAGAAATTAAAGAATTGGCATCAACAAGTAATGAATTATGTATATAGTTTTAATTTGCATCTATATTGTATGCAATATTCTTTGAAATTGCACTTGCTATGGGTAGAGGAATAGCAAGGATAGTAATCATATATGCAATAGTACTAGTAGTTATTGTTGTTAGCATTCTTAATCTATGAATATTATGATAATCATCAATGTTTGCAACTATTGCATTTGTCTGATATTTTAAGAATTCTTTTGTAACATTATCTCTATGAATTGAGGATATAACATTCTTCTTACGCTGATTTTCTCTTGATGTAGAATTTAATTGCATATTAGATAAAGTATCAATAGCTCGATCAGATGTACCTGAATGATTCAAAAACATTGCAATATCTTTTTTTAGTACACTAATATGCTTATTCCCAATTCCAGCAAAGAAATAACATAAAAAGAGAACACTTTCTGCCTTTATGAGATAGTATGATCCAAAAGGCCCCTACCACTTGGATTAATTAATTTCTCAAGCATGTTAAAAAATGGTGTAAGGTTAGTATCTTTTGATTCCATATCCTTCTTGAATAATTTCCAATCATAAATTGATAATATATTTTCTTTTTTTTTCTCTTGTATATAAAATCTGCGCTATTGATCTAACACTTTCAATAAAATCAATCTTACAAATTCCACTTACCTCCGATGTTAATTTATCTCCAAGTCCATCAAGATCCATTTTTGAATTATTAGGTTCAATTCCTTCCATTGTTAACCCAAGTTTGCCATCATCATAATCAATTCTTTCCATCATCAATTCATCTTGTATCTGATCAGCGTCGTTTTAAGGTAACGGTATCCTTAAAATTCTTAGATTATGTTCCATTTACAATACAGCTCATATAGTGATTATGACAAAATTGAGTACTGTTTAATTGCCAGGTAGGATCTGAAGTTTCATGCTGCAAGGCTTTTCGTTTAGCTTCCTCTGTAAACCTCCGAAACTTTGTTTCGTTCCCTTCTATCCCACAAATAACACATGGTTCAGAAAGTTTCTTCCGGTTTGGGTTTTCCAGTATAACCTTTAGAATTGCTAAATGACCTATTGAAAACTGTGTGATTAACGGGATTAGTTTTGAAAAAGTGCTATAACGGACTTTTAGAAATGTAATCAAAATTTTTTTTTAGTGTTACATGAAAAGCAAGATAACGAAATATTTACCTTACTTTAAACAATATAAAAAGCCAAGTTACACAATTCTGTGTAATGGCCAATCATGCAAATGTTCGGTATGCTACTGTTAGAGTCAACAATTGTGAACAAAAAAGTGTTTGCATCAAATTATAAAAATTTCTGATTTTTTTTGATGAAAAAAAAAACTATTTTCTTGTAATAATAATATATTGCTAGAAATTGTGTAGATATTAAAAGACATAAAATGTAATCTAGGGAATTTTATGAAGAAAAAAAGAAATTAATTATTATGACTTATTGTTTAGTTAGTTTATTTAATCACTAAATTTATTTTTAGCATAATTGCGATCTTATTACGTAATAAAAGTGATTGTGTACTCAATAATTCTGATACCTTAATAATCGTTCATAAGATTGCTCAATTTTGTTTTTTATCAATTAATAACTCATAAACTTCTTGTAATTTTTGAAATAATGTGAAATAGGATTTAGTAATCATACTATAGAATCCAATTTTATCCCAAATTTTATATTATGTTTAAAATCTCATTTTCCATATCTCAATTCAAAATCCCAAATCTTATTTAATAATCAATATATTACTCATAATAATAAAATTATAATTAATCATTTGGATCATCTTATCAAGATGCTAAAAATTATTAAATTCTGATCATTAATTATAATAATAATCGTCTTTTATCAAAATCGATTTATTTAAAATGATAACATATTGTATTAGGGTGATACACTGATTAATTAATCAAAACTATGTCAGCAACCTTGTTAATTTTACTATGAACAGATTTTTCACATTACACAGGATGCCGATC